TTCAGCAGCACAACATTTGAGCCTCCGCCCCCAAATCTATGGAATTTTTTTATCACGAGAATATCTTCCTAAAGCTCCCAAATTTTCGAAGATATCAATATCTCGAGATTTTGTAAAATTACCAATATCTTCGGGATTTTAATTCCGGGACAGAAGCGCTCGGGACAATAAAATTTGTAAAAGCTAGTCGCGCGAGATAACGATGCAAGAGGCTAGGACGAAGAAATAACGAGAAAAACCAAATTAATATGATATTATCATCATCGAGAATATATTTGAAAATCAGAATTTTTATCATATAATCAAAAAAATAAAAATTTAAAAAATGAATATATATATATAAGCTCTATTCTATCATAATAATTCAATTATAGATATATTCAAATTTATTAGATAAATATATATATATATATATATTCATCAATATTATTGAAATATAAATTATCATCAGGTAAAATAGGTTTCATTTATAAGATATATATATTTATTCTTCTCTTCAAATAAATAAAACTTTCATTTCACCTATATCAATATTTACGGATGAAATTTCGAATCATAAGATTGACGGACCATTAATTTTCCCCATGATACCGATCGTTCCTATCTCAAGTTTGCACTGCCGGGTGCAAGTTGCCTAAATTTCCTTATTTAGGTTGTCTTTGTGCTAAGCCTACTGCAAAAACTTGCGGGCAACAGGCTTTCTCCGGCTTATGGCAGTCAGGATTTACGGATCAGGAGGGCTCAGCAGGGAAAACGCGGTCTTGCAAGCCGAAAAGTTAAATGCAGCGATTCTGCAAAGATCACGTGTGATCAGGTGCTGGGTGATGAGCTGTTTTTTTGTCAGCTCCAGGTGTGGTTGTGTGGCTCAGATCGCTGTGACAGCGATAGGGTATCTGGAATGACTGCTTTGGTATCGGAGCTTTTGGTAATGACAACTCTTGGGCAGAGTGCCATGTTGCTATCATACATGACATACATGACGATCTCTGCCTTGCCCGGGCTTTATGTCTGCAGTTTTCGGCAGATTGGGTGCGTGGTTCAGACATGCTGAAGCCCACATCAACTTGCATGCTGTTGATCCCCCTGCGGACAGCAAGGCAATGCGACGGCTGAGACAAACATGCTGCCTCGCGTCCTTGCTGTCCCACCAGTGGCACGAGCAGCCCCAGCCGCAGCTGATCCATGCCGGAAACATGAACGGAAAAAGGTCAGCTTCACTCACGAGCAGTCATAAGACCCTATTGAACGTATTGCCTCTGCAACAGCGAATCAATCACATCGGACAGCTGTCACACCGCTGACAGAGACCGCTCGCTAGTTCAGTGTGCCTCGTTGCCTTGCTGTGCGCGTATGATTCGGCCAACAGGTCCGAAACCGAAGCATGAATCCCGGACATGCCTTCAAGCAGCAGATGCTTTGCCTGCCGTAACCATGCCTTCTCTCAGCTGTGTAAGCCGTTCGGAGTGCGAACATCAGAAACAAGCTTGCAAGCAGCAGCACGCTTCTCAAGCGTACGACTGCAACAAGGTCAAGCTCAACAATTCGGGCACAATGGAGATGTGTGCGCAGCGACTCGGCTTCAAGCGGACAGTGAAGTCGCAGAAGCTAATTTTGGCACAGGCTACAACGACGAATCCATCTGCATCAACTCTGCTGTTGCACTTCCTCCCTGCACTCAACATCACTCAACCACCACGACTTTTGCCAAAGAGCCTGTATAGGAAGAGGGGCCCATCTTCCTGCATGCAGTTTCCCTTGGAAGCAGCCAACCATGACATGTCGACCATCAGCTACTACCCTCACCATCTCTCGTAATGTCGCGGGTGGTGTACAGCCGCCCAGGTCCCATCTCGTGCGTCTTGTTGGTGTCGAGATGGCTCGTGCCGGGTTTGCAGGATGCAGATCTGTGAAGTCGGAAGGCCTAAGGGTCCGATGCGTCTCGGCTCAGCTTTGTAATGAAAAGATCACCACCGGGCTGTCCTCACAGGACACGGTCAGGCGAGGCCGTAACGAGCAGAGTGCAGGCATCACGAAACATGTCTGATCCTTCCCATGCACGCTACAGTAGCTGTTTCTCTGCACAGGGAAGGGGACACGACACCTACCAAGACGAAGCATCAGCACCGGAAAGAAGGAACAAACATGGCACTGCAAAGCACGCTTGTTGAGGCTCCTGCACATGACCTGACACCTGCATTCCAAGGACCACGCCAGGGAGAGTTGCTTTGCAGCTCTCAGCCCTTGAGGGCAGCATCCAAGCCTATGCAGCTGTCACCAGAGATAACTGCAACGGGCTCCTTGCCATTACAAATTATGAAGAGGAGGGGGCCTATTCTTCAGGGATTCTAAGAAGGGCACCTTTATTTGTAAAGCTCTCCTATATCGCTCTGACGAGCTGACAACATCGGCATACCAGGATGCGGCCACGTAAAGTTTCGGATGGCGAGCAAAAGCCACTGTTCGCGCCCAGTCGGTGGGCACAACTAGTAGCCCTTACAGTGAAAACACAGGACCGGGTCAAGATCTCGCCTCCATGACGGGAGTATTAAAAATGAGTTGGGCCAGCCCCAGTCGCTTGAAGCCTAAAGATGCTTGCCGCACCTCTTTTTAGTCGTAGTCGTAGTCGCAGTGCTCAGACAGGGACCCCTACGTTTGAAAACTGCCAAAGAGGATTGTATGCGCAAGCTCGTGTATCGAGGCAAGCACGCTTCCACACTTCGGACGGGAGTACTCAGTGTATTAAGATTCATGGAGCCGGCCGCAGAGAGAAGTGCACAGGAGGCGATTGAAGTTTGAAGATGCTTGCCGTGCCTTTTCTTAGTCGCAAGAATGAGTCGCACTTGTGGCCGCAGTGCCGGTCGCAGTGCCCAGACAACGATCCAAGCTTTTAACCTGCTATTATGGAGGAGCGCACGCCCGCGCAAGCGCTTGGATGCCCGCGGAGAGACTTCCGACGATGTAGACCCTACGTGACAGCAGTTGCAGATGATGGCTTTACACTCATGCCGGCGCCCTGTTCTGTCGCAAACCTCGAGGCATTTTTCATTCGTGTGCTGCAGCCCCGGGTATGTCAGGCACATCAGTGAGTCGCATCATTTTCGAGCTATCTTGAAGCACTTGCAATAGCTCCAAGCACGAAGATCGCCGAGTCTCAGAGTAATCGTAGAGGGAAGGCATTCGGAGGGCCAAGGTGCACCTCTTTCTTGACTCTGAACACGGCCCCAGTTCTTCCTGGATGCCCTGCCAGCAGATATGAAGCATACCAGGACCCCAAACCCTATTACTAGACCCCCAAAGCCCTAAACCTTCGGCATTGCCACGACACTTGGGTCCAAGACCGAGCCATCCTCCGAAGCATCACGGCTTTCCCTTAAACTGGGCTTCTTCAGCCTGTCGGGTTGGGCCCTCAGGGTGCCCCGGCCCGGCAACAGCTGCTTCTGGACTGGGTCTCCACGATGGTTCTCCGGCGAAGCTCGGGGGAAGCAGCATTTGAGGCAGTGCGCTGAATGCGACAGAAGCTGTCCGATGGTGACGTCCGGCATCGGTGTGAGACACGTGGACCACCCCGTGGTGGCTCCCTTAATTTAAATAGTCATGCTGCCGACTGATGTAACATGTCACGGCAATTGAACACTGTACAGGCCCCCCATCCTTGGAGTACCAAAGGAGGCGTACAAATGTGAAGGCACTAATGGTACACTGGCGTGTTTGGGTCTACATCGGGGTTTGACAAAGTTAGGGTCATTCTTGGACGTCCTGTTGCTAAGGATGCTTCTGCTTGGGTCCGGTCCCTTGTCTCAGTTTCCTGAGACTCCCACAACCTGTAGAGGCTGTCGCATGCGGCAGCACCGACACGGAATAAGGCAACTCTTGGAACACGTGTCCTGCATCTACTGCGCCTGGGGGATTTCTGCGACGATGATGACAGGGCTGCTTCCCTGCACACGAAAAGTGCTGAGCACTTCGCACGGGGTCCATCGATTTCAGCCTCACCTGACACACGATCAAGTTGCTTTTAGAATAGTGTAGGCACACAAGTCTATCTCTGTCTCTCTGAGGCACACATGCCGGAGACCTGCAAGAGCGCTTGCGTGAAGCTCGTATCCGAGGGCACTTTGCTTGCAGAGATCCAAGTCAGGCCGAGGGCTCGCAGCGCAAAAAGAGGGGCCTTAGTAACTAGAATAGGGCTTGGGAGCCGGTTATACTATTATTATAGTAAGGAACCCCCAGAATAGTTTTGGTAGTTATTCAGGCCTGTGTTGTGTGCTGGAGAGCGCACTCCTGTGCGGCAAGATCAGAAGCGAAGACTGCAACAAGCTACCGCTTTGTCGGCGACGGTACGAAGAGGGACACGTCTTCTTCTTCGCACATGGTGGACGAAAACCGCAGCACGCCCGAAGCAGAAGCTTTGATCCAACTTGGGCACACCGGTTGTGTAAGCAGAGAGTGATTTGGCTCCCACGGCCTACCTGCATCCTTTGACGTCTTTCTTGATTTACAGGCTTACCTACGTTTACATGTGGAATGCCCTGGATTTTTTCTAGTTTCGCCTGCAGAAAAGACTGGCCAAATCCAAATCTGCCAAGACCACGAGAGCGAGAGCTGCCAGCATTCTTTTCTCAACTCGGCTGTAGCTCTTTCCGTGCTTGTGCCCTGCGACATGCAAAAGGTGCTGAAAGCACTGGAAGCGGCCAAACGGCCCCGTCACCTTCGGTACGTTCCCGGCCGAGTCATGTGGGCCTGGCGGGACCTGCGGCTTGTTTGTGAATGATTACAGGGGAGTTGGAACCGTCACGCCCTCTAAGGAACCATCATCGCACTCCAAGAAAGCAGCCTCAAACGGTAGCAACCGTTCGGAAGCAGCGGCGGATCTGTTTCAAAGTGCTCTGCCACATATCCAAGGCTCGTAGGACCAACTGGGTCCTGACACTAATGTCCAGGTTCTTGAGACCACCGCAGCGAGAACACAGAACCTATGCCAACCAAACCACGGCATACAGTACTCGACCAGCGCGTTGCTATCCCGGACTGGGCTGCGTCTACTGATCTTAATGTGTTTACCCTCGAGCTTTGCATCCGGACTTTACCGCCACGGGCCCATGGTGGCAGACGTGGCACTCCAGGGATAGACCGCCCCGCCTGACGGCTTCTCACCTTACCCAGCAGTGCTTAACCGACAGGTCCGAACATGAAACTGACACAAGGAGTGTCTGCAACGCCGAAGCCGACCTCCCGAACTTGGGCTCTTTGCAAGAGTGCTTCCTCCCCTCCGGGAGCTCTGCAAACCTTTCCTGGTCCTAATGAGAAGCAACTCTGCAAGATGGCCTCGAAGATTTCATCTGTCCGGCCTTGAGGTGTAGCGGAGTGTGAAGCGTAACATCGTTGAGCGTGGCCTGGATCATCTGCTTAGGTCCAGTTTCTGCATCTGAAACCCAATCCGGCACCCATCACTTCTTCAGAAAACTTAGTTTTCACAAAGACGTGCGAGAGAATGAGATTCTAGGGGAGTCTAAACATCACTTTAAGGCTGCTGCAACTTGCAGCATTCAAGTCCCTTTTTCCGAGAACAAGCATGCAAAACGTTTCAGGCCGGGCAGTCACGAGGTCTGATCCGGCTTTACCCCTTTCTGACACTGACCGGTTCTAGGATCGCGAAAGCATCGAACCGATGTTGCGCGATGCTGGCGACCCCAAAGGTATCCTGAGGTGTGGGCTCTGAACTTGGGCTCTTGCTTTACGTGTACGAAGACGAAGATCCAGCGCTTGCTTCCCTTGATTGTGCAGCATCTGGGTCGACACTTCAAAGTCTCCTTACCATGCGCTGGGCAGCATTCTGTTCTACATTTACAAAACAACCGTGCTTTTGCCCTTCACGCGGCTTCTGCCTTGTTTCGGAACCAGACCCTCAAGCCCTTAGGTGTGGACCGGACCTCTTCAGGCATTAACATTCTCCTAAGCCCTTACAAGAATTCCATTCCGGTCAATAGGGGCTCGTTGCGCGACCAGAGTGAGCAGCTGCGCGATGCCTTGGTGAATTGCTCAGTATGGAAGCCCCTGGCCGAAGCTGCCCATGCGCAGGCAACAGGAGATACGCGAGCTCTGGGGCAAGCACTTGAATGAGTCAGAAGCGCGTTGCCACAGTGAGCGGGAATGGTTGGCTTGGCACTTTTACGGCGGTCCGCCCTAGAAAACAAGTTGGCTTTGTTTTATCAGGGTTGGGACGGCGCTCTCTCAACCCGATCTCTGGAGCAAAGGCAAGCTGCAAGTATAGCACCCAAAACCCCAAGGCGGGCGAGGGGAATCTCCAGACAGCTCCTGACATGGTTTGGCCTTGAGCACCAAACCTGCAGGACAGTCGCAGGCATGGAACTTTGGAGTGCAGCCATGCTCGAATGACTTGAGACGACAAGAGATAAGACGAGCACTCGGCGGGGTGGACCCAACCCCCCAAGCATCAAGGAAAATAACCTGAACTCCAAGTGGATAAGGGCACGCTCCGCCGCCTAAGTACGCGTTAAGGGACATCCGATCTTACTTGAGTTCATTCCGCTCAGGAGAGGGCTGCCCCACGAAGTTGAGCACCTAGTTGATGCCTTGGAGAGCTCAAGAGCCCTGGCACGATGCCAGATGCCGTAGCTGACGAGAACAGGGCACAATCAGCTCAGAAAGTGTCTCAGATCTCGTGCAAGGTGTGTGCCAATATCAAAGACCTGATGAAGGCCCTGAGATACGACCACGGCGAACCTGCGCCTCTGTTGGCAAAGACCATGATGAAGCTGTGCACAAGAGTCTTCCGAGCGTGAGACCCCGTGCAA